GGCAGACGCTGTGACCAGCTCGGTAACCTCGTTCTGGAAGACGCTGAACTTGGCCTGCAGCTCGCTGTGGATGAGGCCTTTGATATGTTCCTCCCAGCCATCCGAATCCATGAAGTCCTCTTCACCATCACTGGATGCACCTCGATTGGAGCGGGAACGGGCGTCGTCGTCACCAGTGGCTGCAGGCTGTGCACCAGCCCGCGCATCACTATCAGCAGCACCACCAGCACCCCGTACGGGACGAGGCTTCTTCTTGCGCTTGGCTCCATCTGGCATGAGTGAGACCACACGGGAGCCCAGGACTGCTCAGTCGCAGGGCGGCGACAGGCAGCAGCCACCGGGGGCGGACCCGATGGCTGAGACAAAACTGTCGGGCACCAACGCCCTGGCACTGGCCGCGGACTAGCGGTATCCACGCGTTCCCCTGTGGAACAATCCATCTTGAGCCAAAATGGCTACGGAAGGAGGAGGAGGAGGAGGAGGAGGAGGAGGAGGAGAAGGAGGAGGAGGAGGAGGAGGAGGAGGAAGAGGAGCCCCTGCCTGCCCTGGGCGCACCCGCTCTCGTCATTGAGCCTGCCCCGTGTGCAGCCGAGGCCGCCCCACGGATCCTCCGCTCGCTGGGGTGCCGCTCCGTGGAACGGGCGCTGCGGGCTCCACGCCGGGGGTACCCGCTCTCGGCTCGAGGCCGCTGCTCTCGGGCCGGGCCGCGGGGCAGTGCAGCCCACGCTGGCGCGGGCCTGATCCCATCTGATCCCGCGACGCTCAGGTGAGGGGCCACGGTAGGGGGGGACTGGCATAGGGGGGGGAAACATTGACTTGGAATCGGCGATGCATGGCGATAGATCGGCGATACGCCCCCCATGAATCCGCATGTTCCTGGGCAGGTTGGGGCTATCGGACCCCTATCGGCGACCATTGGGCGATTTGGGGTCGATGCATCCCCCCGACTATGCCTATCCCCCCCCCTTTCGTTGCCCCTGATCAGGGGGGCCGCCCCTGGGCTGGTCCAAGGATCGGACCTGGCGAGGCGGGTGCCCTCCTCATGGTCTACCTGTGAAGGGCAGGAGAGGCATCCTCATAAAGAGCACCCCGACCAGCGAAGCCCATGACGAAACGCGCATTCCGAAGGAATCCAGCAGGGCAGGGCTGTTTCGCAACCGCCCAGGATTGCTTTCAGTAAGTGCAGAGTGCAGCTTGTGGGGGTCTAGGTGGTTTTTCCTCCCTTGAACCTGGTCCACGCGGGGCCCAGGCTCTGGGTCACGTTGGGCAGGAGGAGGAGGAGTAGCGAGCGCATGAGGGGATGCGCCGAGTCAGGGTGCGGGACGGGCAACAACGATTGGGAAAAGGAGAGAAACGCACAATCCCTCACATAACGAATTGAGAACACGTGAGGGCCTTCCCAAACGTATCCTCACACACGTGCCCAACCATGGGCCAGTGCGGCAGACACAGGCCAGGAAAGCTGACCTGAGAGATCGGGGAGGCGGGACGACAAACCCACCACCCACCACCTCCAGAAAGAATAGGGTTCAAGAAAACATGACAAACATTATCTAGCGAGGCTGAGCCACTCCACCGCAGGATCCGACACAAGCATACGTCGGAGAAGCGGGATTGGATGCCTGCGGCCCTCGCTTGGGTGGCGGCCCGAGGCGAAATTGTCTCGCCTCCAGGAGGAGGAGGAGGAGGAGGAGGAGGAGGAGGAGGAGGAGGAGGAGGAGGAGGAGGAACCGACTCCGCGGGCGCTGGACACGTCAATGCCGACGCCCGGCGCAGGAGCTCCAGCAGTGACGACCCTAGCGGCATGAAGCCGGTGGCCGTGCTCAGCCAGTGAAGAGCGCACACGCCAAGGTGCACCATGCACAGGTGTTGGCGGCGCGCACAGGTGGGTGGTGGGAGGGGGGAGGGCTTCTTAGAAGGAGCCTGCTTCTTAGAAGGCGCGGGCGGCCCGCGCCTTGTAAGTAGGGGTGCTTCTAAGACGCCTCCCCCCCTCCCCCTTACCCCTTCTGCGCGCCGCCACAGGTGCCAGGCTGACGGGGCCGACCTGCGCCTGGGTGACCGCGAGACCGCAGCGCTGCGGCTGGCCTCGCCGTGGGATGGGCGCAGCCGCGCAGGGGTGCCCCGCTCCAGGGAGTGGACTGCGGGGGCGGCGCGAGGGAGGCGCCCTCCTGAGAGGGCGGGTGGCTTCTCAGGGGGAGGGGGCCTCCTAAGAAGCCCTCCCAGCTGCTGAGAGGCCCTCTCAGAAGCTCCCGGGCCCGTCCAGGGAGGCCCCCTGCTTCTAAGCTTCCTGGAAGGCCGCTGCCCTTGCGCGCCACCCTCCTGTGCGCGCTGCCGAGCAGGAGGCGCGAGCGCGAGCTGCCGGGGAGGTCGCCCTCGAGGCGAGCCCGAGGCCCGAGGTGCCCCGTCGCAGGGCCAAGGCCGCGCCCCGGGGACAGCGTCTGCCGGGGCGAGGCCGCCTGGCCTCCCCGCCGTGGGGGGAGCGCGCGTCCTCGCCGACGCGCGACCGCAGCTTCGGCTCGGCGGCGCGCCCGGGTCGGCCACGCGCAGAAGCGACCCAGGGATGGTGCGCCCAGGCCGCTGCCGCCGCATCGCCGTCAACGATCGGGGGACCCAAGCGTGCCCGCACCACGGGTCCCTCCTGCGAGGGGTCACTCTCTCTCTCTCTCTCTCTTTCACAAGTGTAGCTGGCCAGGGGGTTATGGCGAATGGGGCTGGCTTTCTCAGAAGGCGGGCGGGGTGCTTCGTGGAACCCCTTCGCCCTCTGGGGGTAAGCCCTCCGAAAGGCCTCGCGGGAGCTTCTCGGACGGCGGGAAGGGGGGCTCTCCCGAGAGCCTCCTCCCCCGCCCTGAGGCCGCCCCCCCTCGCCCACACCCCGCCTCCCCTGGCGCGACCCTTCAAGCGACGTGACCACTCCCTCTCGGGCGGGTGGCAGTGGGTGGCGGCCCAAGTGGGGGGTGAAGAGAAACGCCCCAGAGGGGCCCTTGAGGGCCCCTTCTGGGCCCCCGCTGGCTCCAAGAGGGGCCCTAAAAAAGGCCCCTTTCTTCACCCCCCGTGTGGGTCACCCCCCATTGCCACCCGCCCGACCCTCTTTCGGGGATACACTGACCCAGGTCAATCCAAACCCGGGTCAATCAAGCCTTGCAGGATCATGCGCCCAAGCCCGGGTCAGTGCGCCCCTGGCTCTGCATGATCCTGCAAGATCCGGCGCTCTGGCTGACCCCCGTTTGCATTGACCCACGTCTCCTGAGCCCCGACTGGGGGGCCGCAAACTGTGCCGGTGGGTGGCGGGTGGTGGCACCGCGGAGGCTCGGTGCCTCCAGAGGCCTGCGCGGACCTCCAGGGGTCACAAGAAACCTCCCACAAGAAACCCAACCCTGAGACCCCAGGACGTCCATCGATTTTCGAGGTGGGAACGTCGCGCTTGAGCGCGAGCGGCCGCCCAGCGTGAGCGGCCCCCGATCCGTCCCAGCGTGAGCGGCGCCCGCCCTTTCGCGACGCCTCGCGCGAGGTGCGCGCGCGCGGAGGGGGCCTCTGCTCCTTGGGCGAGCGCCACGGCCCTCCTCCTCCTCCCTCCTCCCTCCGCCCTCCTCCCTCTCCTCCTCCCTCTCCTCCTCCCTCTCCTCCTCCTCCTCCTCCTCCTCCTCCTCCTCCTTCCTGCTCCTCCTTCCTGCTCCTGCTGCTCCTCCTCCTCCTCCTCCTCCTCCTCCTCCTGCGGCCACGTCCCGGGCCCGGGGCTCCCCCGCCGCCTCCAGGGCGCGAGCGCACAGCTGGGCGCAGGTCGGCGGCGAGCGAGGGGGGAAGTGAGAAGGCGAAGGCCTTCTCGGAAGGCGGCGGGGCTTCTAAGAGGCCCTCGCGCCTGCCGAGGAGTTCTTCCCGTCTTCAGGGGAGGCTCACAGAACTTCTCGGAAGGCCGTGGGACTTCCGAACCTTCTGAGAAGGCCTGCTCCTTCTCACTTCCCCCCCTCGCTCGCCGCCGAGCAGGGGGGGGAGAGCCCCGAGGCAGTCGGACCCAGGCCAGAAGAACATCCTTGAAGAGCATGAGGCCCCCCGCCCGCCAAGACGCCCCAACGCCTGGGATCGTTCGAGGGTGCCCTCCCCCAGGATCCACCAGAGCATCCAACAAGCACGAAGGACACCAAGGTGCCCTCCTTGAGCCGACCTCGGTCTTATACCTCGGTCCGACCGTCCTTAGGTCTGGCGCGATACGTTCGCCAGAACGCGAGCGAACACGCTACGTGTCGCGTCGAGCACGCGCCATGTCAGGACAGCTCGGGAGGGGAGACGCGGCAGCAGCGGAGGCCCGGGCGGCAGCTCCAGCCTCCAGCGCCCGCGGGCGCGGGCCCCCCTCCGAGAACGCGGAGCCGAGCAGCACGGGCGACTACAGTGGAGGCCAGTCCGCAAGAAACCTTCCACAAGAAACCCAACCCTGAGACCCCAGGACGTCCACTGTTTTTTTGCTGTGGGAGCGTCACGCTTTCCATCGCAAAGCCATCGAAACCCAAGACACCCAGGGCACCCTGGAGGCAAGCAGGGTGTTTCTTGGCATGGGTCCCCACTGTAGGTATCAGTCGGAGCCGAACAGAGCAGCCACCGTCGGTCGCAGCTGATGGATACGCTCCTCTCGCGGTGTTGAAGTCCCAATAGGAGCTGTGCCCTGGCACGACTGAGGACTCTCAGACGGGTTGTCTTCCAGCGGGGCACTGCCCGCAGAGCAGATCACTTCTTGCATGGACCTGTGAAAAGGGAATTTGGAGGAGGGGTTCATTGCAACACCGTTGATGCGTTTGGGTTTAGAGGAAGAAGAGGAGGAGGAGGAGGAGGAGGAGGAGGAGGAGGAGGAGGAGGAGGAGAAGGAGGAGGAGGAGGAGGAGCAGCAGGAGCAGGAGCAGGAGGAGGAGGAGGAGGAAGAGGAGGAGGAGGAGGAGGAGGAGGAGGAGGAGGACTGGTCTTCCTCATCCTGGGGAGTCTGTGGCGCAGTCTCGAGCTTTCCAGGCCCTCGCATCCCCAGGACGCCGCTCTGGTCGTCGGTCATGATGACATAGGTTAAGAATCCTCGCGGGTGCGAGGAATGGGGAGTGCAGGGGGGGGGATGGGAAATCAGGGAATCATGCATCACGCGTGGCTGGCTTTTCAAGCACCTCGACCTCGAAGATCAGGGATCGCCTGCGCGTCGAGGAATGTGCTGGGCAGCAGAGCCGAAACTGGCCGTGTGCTGCAAGCATCCCGACCCGCACTGCTTGCCCCCCTCCCAGCAGTCCCACGCCGCCGGTGTTGTGCCGCGTCGCCAGGGACGTGTTGGAGAACGCGTGCTTGGCGCACGCGGCGTCCTCTGCAGACTTCCCGGGCGGCCCCTTCGCTGCGACGCAGCCAGGACAAGGACAACATCGGACAGGAATCCGCCGACCCCGTCGGCGTGTGGAATGGGTTGTTGTTGTTCGTCGTCGTCGTCGTCGTCGTCGTCATCGTCGTCGTCGTCGTCGTCGTCGTTGTTGTTGTTGTTGCTGTTGTTATTGTTGTTGAACTCTCATTCTTGAAGAATAATTATTGTTGATCCCCCCCCACCGGTGCACATTGATTTTTTGTCGACTGAAGTGCCACCCCCGGGGCTCGCGTCTTGTTTTTTCTCAAGGAAAGTCTTCCTGCTCAAACTGTGCCCCTGCCCCCCGGGCTACAACAACAACGGCTCCCGCCTGAGACTTCCTCGATTTTTACTCAGGACCCCCGCTCCCGCCTGAGACTTCCGCGCAATTTACTCAGGAAAGGCGCTCCCGTCTGAGACTTCCTCGCAATGTAATCAAGACCCCCGCTCCCGCCTGAGACTTCCGTGCAATTTACGTGGGAACGGCGCTCCCGCCTGAGACTTCTTCGAATTTTACTCAGGACCCCCGCTCCTGCCTGACATTTCCGCGCAATTGACTCAGGAACGGCGCTCCCGCCTGAGACTTCCTCGCAATTTAGTGAGGACCCCCGCTCCCGCCTGAGACTTCCGTGCAATTTGCTCAGGAACGGCGCTCCCGCTTGAGACTTCCTCGCAACTTAGTCAGGGCCCCCGCTCCCGCCCGAGATTTCCTCACAATGTACTCAGGACTGCGCTCTCGCGTGCGACGTCCTCACAAATTATTCTGGAATTGCGTTTCGGCGCTCAGGAACCACGCACGCGCCAAGGACGCCTTCACAACGTGGTATCTTCCCTCTTCCTTCGTCCTTCCCCCTCCCCTTCCTCCCACTCTCCCTCGTTCTTCCCCTCCTCCTCTTGCAGGGCCCGCGCCAATTCCAATGGCGGGCAGAGAGATGTACGCCCCCGAAGGATTGTCCGCCCGTTCCGGTTTGCCCGTACGTCTAAGCCCGCCGGCCCCAGCAAAGAGAAATAATCCCCCCGAAAGGGGTGTGATCGAAGACGAAGAGGGCGGGTTTCGAGGGTGTAGGGTATACGTGTTGAATGACTCGCGGGCAAGTAAGATCGTACAGCCTTAGAATGGTTGTTGTTGTTGCTGTTGCTGTTGTTGTTGTTGTTGTTGTTGTTGTTGTTGTTGTTGTTGTTGTTGTTGTTGTTGTTGTTGTTCGTCGTGGTTGTTGTTCGTCGTGGTTGTTGTCCTCGTACGTGCTCGTCGTCTTCTTGTCTGGGTCCGTCGCCCCGCTCGTTTTCATCTCCGTCGTCTTCGCAATGACATCGGGGATCTCCGAGATCCGGCGGCTCTGGCGGATGCATCGGGCGCCGCGGCCGCTGCAGAAAGAGCTCCGGAACGCTCTGAGAGCGCTCCGGGGGACGCCCTGGGCCGACTCACATGCGGGTCCTGGGCCCGCCCGGCTCACCCCTGCCTCCCTCCCCTTCCAGAGCAGTCGGCACCGCCTCGGCAACTCGGCTCGGATCGGAGTGCACATCGGGCCGGGCCGCAACGGCACGGGGCCGGGACCGAACCGGATCGGCCGCGCCCAGATGCACGACCGACGCCGCGCGAGCATCGGGCCACAGCGGGCGACGTCGGCGTGGGGAAGCACGGTCTCCACAGCGGTCGCCGCATCGCCGATGCATCGGCGATGCGGCGGGATCCTCCGACCCCATCTGCTCGGACCCCACCTAGGAAGCCCAGGCTGACAGGACCCGCTTCCCCAGAGATCCGATGCCGTGTTTTCTTCAATACGGGGTTCCCGGAAGTCTCGACCCATTCCCCAGGACCGGTTTTTCATCCTGAGTCTTTTTTTGACGGTCCCGGGGCCCGGCGAGGGCCGCCAGAGGCCGAAAATCTGGAAAAACCTCCGTCTTGATTTTTTCAATGCCTCGGAGGTCTGGGTCCCCCCAGGCCTCGGAGCTCCCGCTCCGAGTCGCGCCGCATCGGGCTGGCCAGCGCCGAGGCGTCCAAAATCGCACCGGCGCGGGCCCTGCCCGCCTCGGCCGCCCCCTCGAGGGCGCCTGCTGCGAGGGGAGCGGCCCTCCCGAGGCGGCGGGCGGCCGCTCGGCAGCGAGGTGGGCCGCCTCGGAGGCGCCCGGGCCCTGCCGAGAAGGCCCCCCCTGCTGCTGAGGACCCAGGCCCCCTCGAGCCACGAGGAACTCACGACGGCAAGCTTTTCGCCGTCTTCGGCTGCGGGGGGGCCTTGGGCCAGGCCTCCGGGACCGTCAGAGAACGGCTCGGGATAAAAAACCGGTGCCGGGGAAGGGGTCGAAACCTCTGGGGGTCGACGTCATGAAAAAATCATGGCGTCGGGGGTCTGGGAGGCCCCTCCCCGCCAGCCTCCCTCCTCCGCCCCCCTCACTCGATCCCCCCGTCCCCCCTCCCTCCCCCCTTCCTCCCCCCTTCCGCCCCCCGTTCACCCCCCCCCTGCCGCTTCCCCGAGGGCGCGGGCGGGCACATGGGGCGCCCTGCGAGAGCGCTGACTTTTGGATCTCCCAACGTCCTCCACGAACTTGAACTCATTAAGGCTGAACTCGATCTGCGTGTTCACGTGAGGGGGCGCGCCCTCCTTTGAGCGCCAGTCCTCCCTGCCCGTGTAGCCCTTATTCATCCAAGCAACCTGGTCTTTGATCATGGCCTCGCTTATGGCGCAGTTCGTCAAATTCACGCAGCAGATGATGAACCTGGTGGGGACTACGAGCTTCTTGTCCTCTGGCACGGCCGGTAGACTAGCCGAGTCAGAACAACTGTCCTGAGCCAGCCTGCTGTGCTGCAACCTTTGGCTGCGCATCGCTCTGCTACTGGTACGGTCCTCCCTGGCAACATTCACGTGCTGCATCCATTTGCTGGGAAGGCCTACGTGGCCCTCTGCCTCGAAGATGCGTATGTTTCCCGCAGTGGACGCGTGCCTGGTCCGTATGCAACCCATGCCTTGCGCGAAGACCTCGGGCATGCGCATGTTGGGCACCGAACTCTGCGGCGGCGCCTCGTCCGCGAGGAGCGACCAGTGGTTACCCACCACGTGGCCCTCTGGACACGCCGCGAGCTGGCTCGTGCCGCAGTCCGGGTCCCACGCGTTCCTTATCATCTCCGCGAACATCGGGGCGTACGGATGCTCCACCCACTCGTAGAATGACCTCCAAGCCTGGTCCGAGGGGAGGTAGAGGCAGCCGTTTCCGCTGAGGGTGGGCGCGTACGTCTGGCTTGCCACGAACTTCCAGATATGCCGCGAATGAGATAAAGTTTCGTTGTTGCGGATCGCGACCATCACAGACTCATAGATGGCGGCGGACTCCTCCGTCACCGAGCCACCTCCCAAGCTCAGCTGTATCAGACTGTACTGGCTTCTAAGCTCGTCAAACTCCTCCCATAAGTTCGAAAACAACAAGGTGGCCGCAAATGTGGGAGCACTGGGACTTCCTCCTCCTCCGCCTTCCTCCTCCTCCTCCTCCTGCTCCTGCTCCTGCTCCTCCTCCTCCTCCTCCTCCTCCTCTTCCTCCTCCTCCTCCTCATCCTCCTCCTCCTCCTTCTCCCCCTCCCTCCCTCCCTCCCTCCCTCCCTCCCTCCTCTTCCTCCTCTCCTCCTCCTGCTCCTCCTGCTCCTGCTCCTCCTCCTCCTCCTCCTCTTCCACCTCTTTTCCTATGCATAACTCCTCCCTGTCGCACCCCAGACGTGTTGGTACGGCGGGCCGGGCATTTCGCATGAGGCGTCCTCAATATGCATGATCCTGAGGCCCGGCTGGAAGATGGCCACAGGAGGATGGGGTCTGGGGCTCCAGTCGTGAGATTTCACGATGTCGCCACGCCGCCCCCCTCCTGTTTCGCACTCACCGCTTGGAGGAGGAATTGGCAACAGGATGCCCCCCGCTCCGCAGCCCCCGATTCGGGCTCCCTGCTCCGTGGTCCTCCGAAGTCAGAGCCCGCGCCGCATACGCAGCCGCCAAGAGCGCGAGGCAGGCGCGGATGCTCTGGAGCCGCCCCATAGCAGTTATGTAATAGTTTGTCCTGGAACCCTAGGATCCCGATAGTTCCGCAAGGAATAGGTAAGTGTGCACAGATAGAGACGGAGCTGCCACGAGCGCACTGGGCGTGCGCCGCGAGCTCAAACGAGTAGTGGACGGCTGCGGACCCCCTTCGGGCCGGATGGGGCCTCCGGGGAGGCCGTCTCGAGCCGAGTGGGGGAGACAGAGGGGGAAGGTGGCGGAGGAGGAAGAAACAACGAATCTGAATGACATGCTCGCCGACATAAGACCGACCGGACAAGAATTGGGAGTGCCGCTGGTTGAGCGCATGCGCGCAGGTGCTCACGCACGTGTGCCGCCGAACAGAAGAGGACACGTGCGTTGCCGTCGTTGGGCAGTCGAGTCCGAGGACCTCCTGCGAGGAGGGAGGAGGGAGGCGGAGGGGGAAGGAGGCGGAAAGAGGAAAGCTATGTAGTACGAGGGAGGGGGTGAAACCGAGAACGAAGAGGACCAGGAGGTCGAGGAGGAAGAGGACGAGGGACAGGAAGAAGGCGAGGAGGAAGAGGACGAAGAAGTGCAGGAGGAGGAGGAGGCGGAGGACAGCGTGGAGGTCGAATGGCCCAGCTTTTACATAGAGACACATTATATATATAGATATATATATTAATTTATATATTAAACACACAGAGGCAGCTGTACTACGATTGTATGCATACATGCATGTATCCATCTGTAGGTATATGTGTACGTATGTATGCATGTACGTTTGTACGTATGTAGATCTGTCTGTATGTATGTATGTATGGATATAGGTGTGTATGTGTGTATGCACGCAGGCGTGCAAGCATGCAACTATGTACGTATGTCTGTATGCATGAATGCATGCATGCACCTATCTATGTATGTATGTCTGCATGCATGTATACATGTATGTATGCATGTCTGTGTACACACATCTATATACACACATATATATATATATGTATTGCTGCATGCATGTGTCATTGTACATGTTTATGTATGTATGCATGTCTGTATGCATGTATTAAGATATGTGAACCAATATATAGGAATTCATATGTATGCGTACACGTACGTGTGTATGGTTATACATGCATGTACACATGTATGTATGTACACATGTAGACATGTGTGTACTTATGTAGGTACGCATGTACGCATGCATATACGTACGCACGTGTACATGTCTGCACGTATGTAGTTATGTATGCATGCACGCAGCCATGCATGCATGTATGAATGCCTCGTGCATATATAAAACTGGATGTGCGTATTGTGTGCATGTGTATGTGTACACCTATATACATACATACATGCATACACATACACATACATGCATACACAAACAATCATACCTACATACATCCATGCACACACACGTATACACATACATCCATCCATTCATCTATCCATCTATCCGTACACACGTGCGTATATATATATATATGCATATCTGCATGCATGCATGCATATATGCATATACCCGTACCCATACACATACACACATACACATACATATCTACCTACCTACCTCCCTACATGTTATATATGTATGTATGTATGTATGTATGTATGTATGTATGTATGTATGTTTGTTTGTATGTATGTATGTATGTATGTATATATACATATATATATCATGTTTACATATATAGATAAACATATACATGTATCAATGTGATATATATATATATATATATATATATATATATATATATATACACATACATAAATATATGCACATCTACACCGGGGGGGGGGGAGGGGGGCAGGCCCGCGGCCTCCAAATCGGGACCTCAACCCTGCATGGCTGAGCCGGGGGTTCCTGGGGGGCCCCGAAACCGGTCCCAGACTGCATCCAAAGACGCTCCAGCCGGGAACCTCTACCTCAGAGAGCTTCCAAACGCCCAAGATGGCCCCCAGACGGCCCCAGAGGCCCCCCATATCGCCCAAGAGAACCCCCACAGGCTTCCCAAGACAGCCCCCAGAGGCCACAATTGCCCAATTCCCCTTCGGAAAACGTGTACATTTAACATGCACAACTTTTCAGCTTTCCGACGCTCCACGGCGGCCCAGTCGAAAACAAGCTGGTAAGCTTAGGTATGTGTTACGCTTTAAGCGTTGCCATATCCCAGGCTTTGGCTCATATCGCATGAGCAAGAGAGCAAGACGAAGCATGGGATCTGGAGTAAAGGATAGGATGGGCATCGTCAATGGAAAAGGTATTTTCCGATCTCTGATGCAAGTCGTGCGCCTCGGTGAGGCACAATCACATATTTGGCCGGGCCCGGCTTGAGCCAGGCACGGCAGCGGTACATGCTCGATTTATACCTCGCCTTTAACCTTCTCCGTTTAAAGTCGGAGGGGGAGGAGACGAGCAGGTACCGCACTTCTACATTATGCGGAAAAACAGTGCTAAGCAGCAGCGGCTGCCTACAAGGAAAGGGCGCGCGAGTAGCCTCGCTACCGGCGAGTTTCCTCGCTACTAAAGCGCACCTGCCCGCGGGTTTCCCCGCTGGCTCGGGAGGCAGGGCCGTCCTGAGACGACCTGCCCGCCCTATACGGCGTATGTTTCTTCAGCTCGTGCTTGAAGGATTGCTGGCCGGCCATTACTTGTAGGAGCAACGCGCGGTCAATACTACCTTTGGTATGACCATCGGCAGTCATATCCCGCGTGTCACACCATTGGACGCTTTCCACGATTCCGCGTTCCATCATCTGGCGGATCCAGCTGATGTGCCCAAGCAGAGTACATTCTGTGGGCTTCTTCAGATCTTTGCTAGACAAAGACTTGAAGACAGACTCGGCATCAATAGTCAGAGTGACTTTGATACATAGACCACCCATTTCCAATATGTTCTTTAACTGTGTGGGGGTCAATGGTCCCGAGTGTAGCTCGTGGAGCGTTACAATGGTCGGGTAGCAGTCTTCCAAGTTGTGGGCTGCTGCCAGTGTTTCCGCAGAGTAGCTCGAACGCACCTGCAGTCGATGAGACTTGCAGTATGCGTCCACCAGGTGCACGACGGGTTTCCCCGCTTGCGTGTGGCCACGCCTCAGCAGGTTAGCCCCGCGGATACCATAGCCTTTGACTTCGTCGTCTTCATCTCCGTTGAGACGACGATAGCCAGAATCGCTATGCAGGTCGACTTCTCCTGTTGGGGTCATAGCTTGATACACGATCTTCTTCGGACCTGCCTGTAGCTTTCTGGTAACCGCGTTTAGTCGTCGTACCTGGATGTTTGTCGGTTCCTGGATACGTTGTAGTGAGACAACATAGACCATCAGCCATACCTGCGTGATCAACGCATAGGCTAGAGCGCCACGAAGACTGACGAACATATCAGAAATCGTCTTTGTCGCTTTGCTCTCAGGATCAGCTCCTGTGAGTTCTGGATGTGTGATAGGACGAAGCTGTTTGATGTATTCGTCCTGATCGAGAGTGACGCTCCCATCATCGGTCTTGTTGTACCGAACGGCACAGTTTGTGTATGTGTGCTTGTTCAGTTTGCACTTCCCAAACGTATCTTCAACACACTTGACATACTTGTCAATAGCCTCTTCCTTCCCAGTCATATTGATGTCATCAACGTGCTTGGCTGTCAAGAGGTTTGGGCTCATCTCGAACTCTTCGTCGTATGAAGTAGGCTGTAGCCCAAAGCTCCTAGTGATGGACCTGAGCTTCAGCGAGAATGCCCTGGGAGCATCCTTCGTGCCCGTCCCCGGTTTCAGACACCGGAGACAATGCTTTGATTCGTCATATGACTCAAAGCCTGGCAGTGTGCGAAGGACAGCTGCTGACCCAGGTGGTAGTGTGAAGCACACCACACGCTCTTTCTCGCCCGTTGCCGCGGCGAGCTCGCCATAGGTCAGTCCCTTCAAGAAAGCCATGTTGATGTCCAGGGAAGCGATGATCCAAGCTTTGTTGCATGCAGCAGAACTTGCGAGCAGTCTCTGGCTTGACCTCCTTGCCGTGCCAGAGAAGGTTTCGACATCAAAGGCTTCAAGGTCCATGAAGCCACGGAGTACCAAGCGTAACCTGATCGTCCTTTCCATTTCGCCCTTTTCGTTCTTGACAAACTTCCATTTGTATACGTAGCGTGACGTCATGATGTTAGACGCCTTGCTTAAGTCAGTCATCTGGAAGCATTTGTTGTCAAGCCAAGTCTTCAATTCTGTGTAGAGGGCTTTGGAAACTTTGACCGGATTTGCTTGGATGTCGGCCTTCGTGAGTAGATCGTCTTCCTTGACGACCACGGCACGTTTGGAGGCAGCGCTAACGTATACTCGCATAGTTGTGACGCTGCTGTCATCCAACAATCGGTGTTGCTGCTCGGACAGGACGACTTTGGACATGTCTGCAGTGAAGCAGAGCTCGATGTACTTCCCGTGCTCATCGGAGTCCAGATCATATTTGCTATCCGGATCCGTGGAGCATAAAGGAACGTAGTAAGAAGTGTCCATGTCGTATCCTGGCGGGTGACCCCGCTCCGGCAAGTGGCCTTGCACATCTTCACAGGTCGTAGAGACTAACACACACTGTGTGTCTGTCATGTATGTGGGAACTGTATGCATGACTTCCTCTGTGTCAGCTTCAAGGAGTGTTCTGTCATCCATCAGTTCAGCATACCACGACTTCAAGACAAAAGCATCCAGATCTTCTTCTGTTTCCTCTATGATGGTCGGGAGCCGACCATCGTTATCCGTAGGAGGCTCCTCAGGAGCAGCTGCTGGAGGTGATTCGCTTGGTGGTGGACCATCAGCGAGTTCCTCAAACTTAGTGAGGTCTTGGTCAAATCCAGCAGACGGCTTCCTGGATTTAAGACACTGGATGATGCGTGAGTGTGTAGATCCTGTGATGTCATAGATGTTCAAGGCAGTGCCATCAGCTTCATAGTAATGAAAACCAGGGGTCACATCATTATCATAGTGCACTAGTGTACAGCTGTCTGCATAGGGTGCAGCAGGCAACTTCGTCAGGCTCTTGGCAAGTCGTACAGCAA